GGTGAATGCCACAAATTCTCCTAAATCACTCGTACGCACAACTTAAGAACAAATCTGTGCGTACGAACGGTTCTTGCATGAGGCCCAATAAATCTATTCTGATGCATTGGTGCTTTACATATGTGCAAGCGTCATATTACCACTATGCTGTATCTAGTTTGTACAATTGATCGCATTGTAACCATTTTTAAATGGTGCGTCCGGTGATCGCTTCCTGAGACTCAAGATTATTTAATATTATTATTATTTACCGCTCTGTCTACGTTCCAACCCATCAAAAGGAGTCAGTTGAGTTGGCTCACCCGATGAAGACGCCTCACTTTGGAAGTTTTCCAGACATGTCCTATTGAGACCCCAGGTCAGACCCTGAACTTGTCTCGCTCGTTGGTTTCCCTCCTGGACTTGCTGCCTCTGCGACCCGACCAGAGATGAGCAGTAGAAGATGGAGAAGTAAGTTGGAGTCTGTTCACTTTGTTAAACATTCTGTGGGTTTAAACTCTTTTAACACCAACATGATAATGTAATATTGCATTTTCATAGAAAAAAGCAGGCAGCATTTTTCTAATATAGAGGAAAACTTTTGGTAAAGTTGGTCTTAAATTATGCAAATGGGTCCATCCAGTTTACAGACATCTGCAGGAGAAACTTAGATTTCTGAATTTTACAATTAGAGCACAACTCGAGAAACATTAAAAGAAATGTGAATAAAATAGTGTAATTCTGCACTGAGAAGTTTGTTTCAACATCCAGACTTTAAGCAACTCAGCTTTTCTTAAAAATGAAACGACACAAAGCTGTGAATCATTTTCTGACACGATCAGGTTCCTCTTGAGGTTTGAGACTTCCCTTTGCTAAACCTTACATCTGTGCCTCAAGTTATCTGCTGTCATTCAGCTGAGACACCCCTGAAGAGGCATTAGCAGAGCAAAAAGGACCGGTGAGTAGTTGTACTTTTTATCTTATCCCACAAGAAGGTTTCATTAGCTGCAGTGGAAATGAGCCCAAAGGACTGAGACAAACGATTTGGTTTTTGCATCACAATTAAAATTTTTACAATGTACTTTGAAAATGAGGTGAATTTGTTTTTTATCATCAAATTTGTTTTCTGTTTTGTAGTTTAACATTTAAAACTAAATTATATATTTCTTTATTTTACATCTTGTCAACACTTCCCCTTTTTTATGCTGCTAAGCGTTTATTTTATGATTTTAAATTTAGCTTTTATCTGATAATTTGAGTTTGATGGCTTAGACGACGATCGCATCAGTTTATACTAGTAGCTGTAGAAACTATTTACAGGATGTGGGAAACGTAAATAAACTAGTAGTAAAATAGATAAAACTGCAGATGCAGCACTTAAAGTGTGGCGTAATAACTTCCTGTTTCAGCTGCAAAGCCATTTGTTAATTATCAGGCTTCTTCACATTTATTTTCTACAAAACAAGAAAATTTGAGATTTAGGGTAAAAAGTTGGGGGTTTTAATTAAAAGTACATTTTTAGATCAGAAAATTGCTTCATAGTAACAGCTATAGGCTACGTATAAATGTACTGTTTATTTTAGTAAATTTGGCAATGATAAACTTAAGCTATCAGTGTTTATTTAACATTAAACGGTGTTGTTGATTCGATGCATTTTTTTGTAACTCTGATTTGAAATGTGGGTGATAATGTAATGACCTTGGTGTGCGTTCGTCTGTCTGTTAGCAAAACATCTCGTCTTGGTATGTTTGTTCATCTTTGTGTCTATGGTGTATAATGATGTGATTGTGATGCTGTAATTCTGAGTGTTTTATGTGCTGCAGAACAGGAACCTGCTGTAAAACAGCAATGATGCTGAGTCAGGCTTGATTTTTAATAATCTTTTCCTGTTAAATCAATAAATCAAATCAAATCAATCTCATGAATCTCTGAAAAGATTTGAATGAAACACCAAGATGGCCGCCACAGATAGCCTAATCAACCTTAGCAAACACAAAAATGGACCATCCATGGCTACATGTAAACTTTCAAGGAATGCTGTTTTTTTTAGTTGCCACTGTGTTTTTATACATGAAAAGTAGCGTATTAGTTCATCCTCTAATAAACAAGTTCCTACAGTGTTTGTGTACAAAAAATTCAGGGTTTTAGGCCCACATTGTAGCTTGTTTATTAATAGCAGCTAGCCTGGATATCAGACACACCCATAACTCTCGTAACATTTTATTACCAATTCTGAGTTTGTCACTAACTAAATCTAACCACAGTAGTGTCCAACTTTTGTTAATAATGAACATGTTAGGTATAAAGCTGTATAGAGGCTTTCAGAGCTTGTCTTGCTAATAGCATCTAGCCTGGTTGTTGGACACACCCATCCAACATGGCTGCCATGAAAAAAAAATTCTAATAACTCGTGTAACTTACAGTTTATTACAACTTCTCTCGAATTATTAACTAAATCAGTCCAAATACACTGAAGCCATTATTAATTAATGAGCATTTTCAGAGCTCATGTGTGACACAGGAGGTAAATAAAAATAAATAGTTTTAAGTTTCTGGTGATTTGGTAGGCTACCATCAGATCTAACATATATTAGGGTTTCTGATTTGAAATATTTGTGCATTTTTGCTTTTTATACTCAGTTTTTGTTACTTATCTTATAAAGGTTTGCTCATATGTGTGTGTATATCACGTTTCCTTATTTTATTTTGCTTAGCCTATATTTAAAATATATTCTACCATAAAATGCTTATACATGACATATTTTTAATGTAGTATATAACTATTACAATGGCAGTATAGAGAAAAGCATACTTGTGGTATACTTTAAATATAATTCAACAAGCTAAACTGTGAGCCACAAGTATACGTAGTACACTAGTATAGATGAGTACACTTGAATGTATAATTTGGTAAACTTAAAAAGACTTTATAACGGTATACTTAAAGTATACTTTTTATCAACTAAAAAAGTCCCAATTTAGTCTGTAGAAGTATTAAATCAGTATACGTTGTAGTACACTAAAAGTACATGGTGCGTAGTATATTTGATGTACTTAAACTTTTATTCAAGTATACTTATTAAAATGAACTTCAAGTATACTACTTTTTGCTAAGAGGTAAATGGGACAAAGTAAACAAAATTAGAGCGGTAAGGTTTGTGGTTTTGCTTTAAGCATGTGTTCCATTTTAACAAAGGTCTATATTTGAAACTATATTACTTTTTTAACACTGTGTAAAATGATTTCTGTTATCTTCACGGAGGACAGTTTATTTTATTGTTGATAATGCTTGTGAAATTCTTTTGTATGTGACTATAGAATCTGGCTGCAGTGGTTTTCAAAATTAGAGCAAACCTCACGGTGATTTCGTTGAGGTCTACGGAAATTTGAAATATTTACTAAAAGCTTGGCTCAGACATAAATGGAAACGGTTGCTATGAAGTGTGTTTTTTAACTTGTTTATTAACCTTATTTGAACCAAAATCAGCAGTTGTTTTGTAGGTGAAGTGAAAACTATGGTCTCTTTTGATGTTACATCGCTCTTTACGTGCGTTCCTGTTGATAAGGCAGTGGATGTGGTCTGTGCAAGATTAAAATCAGACACCACTCTCAGCAGCAGAACCACATTTTCCACAGAACAAGTGTGCCAACTCCTCAAACTGTGCCTGGAGTCAACCTACTTCATGTACGGGGGGCAATATTATAGTCAGAAACATGGGTGTGCCATGGGATCCCCAGTTTCTCCTATTGTTGCAAACCTGTACATGGAGGAGGTGGAAAAGAGAGCCTTGATGTCCTTTTCAGGGGTGCCACCGAGCCATTGGTTCAGATATGTTGACGACACCTGGGTTAAAATTAAAGCCCAGGAAGTCCAACATTTCACTGATCACATCAACTCTGTGGATGAATATATTAAGTTCACACGAGAGGATGTAAAAAATGGCAGGTTGGCGTTCCTGGATTGCAATGTCTCGGTTTCGGATGGAGGACGGTTGGAAACTGGCGTATATCGTAAGCCCACCCACACAGACCAATATTTGCGTTTTGACTCCCACCACCCACTGGAACACAAGTTAGGAGTGATCAGGACTCTGTACCACAGAGCAGACAGTGTCCCTACAAACCCAGGAGCCAGGCAGAAAGAGAAATCACACACACGACAGGCTCTGGAGCAGTGTGGTTATCCTGACTGGGCTTTCCTGAAAGCAGACAGGAAACACAGACAGGATTCCATGCAACCTTCAGGTGAAAATGAAGACCCCAAACCCAGACCCAAACCAGTGGTTATTCCGTATGTTGCGGGTGTTTCGGAGAAACTGAGACGTTTATTTTCTAAACATGATGTCCCAGTAGCTTTCAAACCCCAAAACACATTACGGCAAAGGCTGGTTCACCCCAAAGATCCGGTGCCCCGGCACAAACAGAGCAATGTTGTATATGCTGTTAAGTGCCAGGAGGACTGCGACCAGTTATACATCGGGGAAACAAAGCAGCCACTGTTCAAAAGAATGTCCCAACACAGACGAGCTACATCTAATGGCCAGAACTCTGCAGTTTTCACTCATTTCCAGGCCAGCGGTCACTCTTTCAGAGATGAGGATGTTCTCATTCTTGATAGAGAGGAACGTTGGTTTGAGAGAGGAGTAAAAGAAGCCATTTTTGTGAAGAAAGACCGTCCATCATTAAACAGAGGTGGAGGCCTCCGTTTTCAGTTGTCCCCCTCCTACAGTGCTGCTATTGCCAGTATCACTCCACCCCCTGTTAACAATAAGTGTTAATTAGGTGTCAACGATAGCCATGTGATGTGAGTATCAGTCACATGGAGGCAGMYCWTAAAAGCCTGAATTTTGCCTGAAACTCTCAGACTGAAGAAGTCTCTTGGAGGAGAGACGAAACGTTTCATTAGAGAAGAACCCGTCCAGAAGACCTATACAGTTTTTTTCTTTTTGATTTTTTACCTGGATTACTGAGATGCATCAGGACGTGAAATGAAAAGTTCATGAATTTTTGATCAAACAAATAAATTTATAATTGCTATAGAATCGTGAAGTCTTGACATTTATGTAGTTCCTTCATCTTTATAAAAAATGTTTTGTACATATTCTACATCCCAATTAATTGTTCTCATGTTTTTATTCCAGATTTTCACCAAACAAAAATATTTTTTTTAAGTTACAACTTTTCTCCTTCAAGATGACCTGCCCTTCTCCCAACGGCTCCACGATGGTCCTCATAAACCAAACAGACCCAGCAACCAGTTTGACCTCTGTGAATATACTGACCATCACCCTCCATGGAATAGTCTCCACCATCGGCATCGTGGAAAACCTCCTCATCCTCGGAATCGTTGGCTTCCGTGTCCGCCGCTCCATCATCAGCATCTGGATCCTGAACCTGGCGGCGTCGGACTTCCTGGCCACGTGCTTCCTGCCCTTCTTCACCCTCTACATGGCCCGTGGGAACACCTGGATGCTGGGCCCGACCTTCTGCCGGATCTACTCCTCCAGCTTCTTCCTCAACATGTTCGTCAGCGCCTTCCTGCTCGCCGCCATCTCTCTGGACCGCTGCCTGGTCGTGGTGAGACCCGTCTGGGCCCAGAACTACAGGACCGTGGAGCTGGTGGGGAAGATATGTGGAGCGATTTGGTTCGCCGCTGTGATCTTCACCATCCCATTCTACTTGTTCCGTGACACCATCCAACTATCCACTAAAAAAGTTCTCTGTTACTACAACTACGCAAGGTTGCTCCCAAGCGAGCCCTACGACCTTAAAGCTTTATGTAAGCAGCGCAAAGAGGGACTGGTCATCATGAAGTTCCTGTTTGCTTTCCTGATTCCTCTTCTAATCATCATCTTCAGTTACGTAGCCGTGAACAGAAGCTTGGCGTACCGAGGCTGCCGGCGGTCTTTCCGGTTCGTCCGGCTCGTAGTGGCCGTTGTGGTGACCTTTATCCTCTGCTGGGCTCCGTACCACATCTTCATCATCATGGAGATGATGGCCCCCAACAACAGTTCTGCGCGCAAGTTTGCGACCTCCGCTCTTCCGATATCGGCAACAGTCGGCTTCTTGAACAGCGTCATCAACCCCATCCTGTACGTCTTCAGCTGTCCCGATCTGTGCCGCAAGATCCGACATTCCCTCGGAGCGGTGATGGAGAGCGTCCTGGCCGAGGATCTGGCTGAGCTGGCCCGGCGGCGCAGCACCCGCACCTCCGTCAGCAACTCCGAGCTTGGGATGAGGAAGAAAAGTTCGACTACAGTTTTTACACCTCTGAAAGCAGAGACTACTGAGCAGGTAGAGTTTCTCACCAACTCTTCTTAGAACCGAAACGCGACGCAAATTCCTAAAATGGGACCGGAAGCCTTTTCTACCCATGAATCCTTTTACGGTAACTTTGTGTCGAGCTGAGCTTATAAAGATTTAAAACTTTAACCGCAGAAAAAAATAACTATTTAACTGCTGCAATGTTTTAACAAACACATGTAAAAACATTGAAATGACATCCAGTTAAACTTCGGATAGCTAGATGAGCTAACTGCTAATTCCAGCAAAATCCAGACCAAAATGTGCTGCTGCCTTAAATAAATCCAGTTTAGACAAAAGCTGTAGCATTAGCAATTTTATAAGCATATATATTACTGTCAATTTTGAATTACACGTTTATTCACGCAGAATTCTGTGTTAGCTTGCACAAATAGCAACAGCTAGCTGTAGCATCTACCCACTTCCTGCTAATATATTTGCCAGAATAATTGTGTTAACTGAAGCTAACAGCAGTGTCAAGGATTTTTAAATGAACTGCTAGCCTTTTTACGTTTTTCCACAACGGGTAACCTGAAAAAATTTCTTGTCATCAAGGTGAACAAAATGAGTTCATCACAACTGATTTTATTTGCTATTATAATGTTATTAAGGCAATATTATACAATAATGTAGCAATTGCTTGTTTTGTAATACTTCTATAGGTTTTCTGTTTTTTTTTTTAAATTTTTGTTTGTTGTTTATGAGGTTTAATATTCAAAATATTGGTACCAACAAATATCACAGCTTAGTATGTTTTAAGGAAGTACCAGATACATACTTTGTGAGTACTAGATACTTACAGGTTACATTCTTGGTTCGTACAGGAAACATACCTGATACTTAAAATGGTACTTACCCAATACTTGCCAGGTATGTAAAAAAACATACTTGATACTTACTGGGTAGATATCTGGTACTTATAGGAAACATACCTGGTACTTATCGGGTATATATCTGGTACTCACAGGAAACATGTGGTACTTAAAAATGTACATACTCAATACTTATGTATACTTACTGGAAACATCCAGTACTTACAAGGTATGTACCCAGTACTTAGAGGAAATGTACCTGGTACTTATAATGGTATGTACGCGGTATGTGCCAAGTATGTACCTTGTGAATGTTGTACATACTGGAAAAATTCCTGATACTGTGTATGTTCCTAGTACTTACAGGGAATGTACCCAATGCTTAACAATTATGTACCTGGTACTTACATCATAACTGTCTTGTACATATTGGGTACATAATTGTAGCTATTAGTACTTAAAATGTAGGTACCTGCTCCTTACAGGGTACATAATATCATACCTGGTTTCATACTATGTAACTTGTAGGTATGGGGTACATATCCTGTAAATACAGGGTAATAAGTTACTTTTTAATACAGCTAGGTCACAAAGTTGTCCTATAAAGGTACCTTGTAAGTATCAGTTATGTGTTTGGTACTTACAGATACCTAAGTTTAATCTTTATTTTGAGAATGTGTTGCATCATAAAGTCTGTACCAAGTTCTTGCCTTTAACATTTGAATAATGGAAAATCAATTGTTGGGTTATGAACCAACCCCAAAAAAAAGCAAAAAACACAAAAACATCCTGTGTGATTTCCTCTTTTTGTTTTTGGCATTTAGTATTCTCGTAACTGGTTAGATAAAACACACATTACTCTGAATGTTTTATTGTGAAAAAAAAGCAAGAAGCCACAAGAGGCGAGATCCAATCAGCTGAACCTGTTCAGAGAAGACGTTTTTTTTTTTTGTGATAGCTTTCTTCATGTGTTTTTATCTCACAAGCAATGCTGTTCAAACAAACGTTTTTTTTTTTTAAATAATAAAAGGACGTTCTGTATGTCACGTTCGCTTCCTGTTTTATTGAATCAACCTGATGAGAAAATGTTCATTCAGAACGTGGAAAATAAAAACAGAACAGGAGGCTTACACCCACACATGCATGATAAAAATATGCAAACTCACCACGGAAAACCTAAAATTAAAATCAGAAATCTTTCTATGAAATAAATACAGTTACCACAATAATACCACTTGTCTTAAAGGGAACTCCAACTAGTTGTAACATTAGACCTTATTTGAGACATTTTTACTTCAACTGTAAAAAAGACTGTAGACTGTTAAGTTTTTATAAATTAAACAACATATCGTCACACAGACTTCGCCATGTTACTTACCCTGAAAAACAGTCTGGGTAAATGAAAACTTTACAGAGTGCTCCAGCAGTGTGAGCTCTGTCCAGCTTTTACATTTAACCAGAGCGTACTGACATCGAGAGGAGAATATAGAAAAGACTCAGCCTGAAACTGAAAATAATGGAGGAAAACAGCTGCTTCATGGAAGAAGAACCTCTGTGGGAATTATCTACAGCGGATAAAATAAGTATTGAACACGTCACCATTTTTCTCAGTAAATATATTACTAGAGGTGCTAATGACATGAAATTTTCACCAGATGTCGGTAAC